CAGTAAGAGAAAAAAAGGTGGAGAAGGAGAATAATGAAGGAAAAAAAATTGGGAAAAATGCAAAATGAAAAACAAGGAATGGGGTTAACCAGGAGGAAAAAAAGGTGAAAAAAAAGCTCAAATTAAAAAAAAAAAAAAAGAATCTTAACAAAAAAAAAATTTTCAGCTAGGAATAGGGAAAAGAAAAAATGCTGAAATCTAGGACCTGGGAGGGGAACATTAAGAATAATAGTAAAAATGACAAAAGTATTAATAATAATAATTGTTTTGAAATAGACAAATACAAGCAAACTAATCACCAGAAAAAAGTAAGTGAAAAGGAAAAAAATGGATAGACCAGGACACCCAGACTCCGTCTGAGCACACAGACTGTGGTGGAGTTCCTGTGAGCCCAGAAGGTGCGAGGGAGTGGGGGATGGCCACATCTCCATTCACCAAGCGGGTGTGGGGTATAAGAGTAACAAGAGGAATGTGGCACCTTGTAAGTCTTGCCGGTCTGGAGCGCCCTTGGGGTTGCTGGGAAGCAGAATGTGTTCTTAAGCCCCAAGAATCTGCTAGAGTGCTGTCTCTTTAAATATCCAATATAGTCAAGCCGCTTTTAAACATTCAAACTTGTGGCACCCTCCAGACAGGCGAAAGTCTACAGCTCAGCCCGTGTTTCTCTTCACCTTCTCCATTTATTCTCCAGCCACCAGTGCAGTCCTCTGTGCAGTCCCTGGCTAGCATGGCCGATTTTCAGGTTAATTCTTAGGTCCTTCTAGCACTCGGCACTCTCAAAGCTGTCTGTGTCATGCCGTCAGGATCACTCAGCATCGCTGCCAGACCGCAGCTCCGTCTGTCTCCTTATTTGATATTTTCATGCAAATTCTTCTGCTAGTTGGGGTTTAGTCCACTTCTATATCTTTCCCTTCAAGGCTCAGGGTTCCAGGATTATCTTCTATGTCTGTTTTAATTAGTTTCCCTTTTCTTTGTTGAAGAGGGTCTATGCAGTCTTTCTACCTAGTCCGTCATCTTACCGGAACTGAAGATGTTACTTTATAAACTAAAGTGAATCTAACCCAAGCCATGGTGTTTTTAAACACCTTATTTGCATGTGAAAGCTTGACAATGAATAAGGAAGACTGAAGAAGAGTTGATTTCTTTGGATTGTGGTGTTGGTGAAGAAGATGGAAAATACCATCAACTGTCAGAAGAACAAACAAATCTGTTCTGGAAGAAGTGCAGGTTGCATGTTTCTTAGAAATGAGAATGGATAGACTTTGTCTTACCTACTTTGGTCATGTTGTCAGAAAGGGCCATTCCTTAGAGAAGGATATCATGCTTGGTAAAGTAGAGGATCAGCAAAGAAGGCGGAGATCCTGAAGAAGATGGATTGACACAGTGGCTGCTACTATGGCCTCAATCAGAGCCAGGATTCTGAGGCTGGCACAGGACTGGGCAGTGTTTCATTGTACATAGGGTCACTATAAATCAGAGCCATCTGGATGACACTTAACAACAGCAACAACATTTTCCTTTGCAGATTTTTTATCTCTGATCTGTCCATTCCCCAGTATAACATTGCATTGATTAGAACCTCAAGTATAATGAATTTTAGCAGTGATAGTGAGTTGTTGTTGTTGTTGTTATGTGCTGTCGAGTCGGCCCGTGATAGTGAGTAGCCTTGTATTATTATTGAATTTAATGCAGTGTGCTTACTGCGTTTCATCATGAAGAATGGTAAATGATTTGCTTTTCTGGTAGATAATCTTTATTAAGTTAACCTATTTCTAGTTTGCCAAGAGTTTTTATTACACATGACTGTGGAAGCTCACCAGATGCATTTTTAGCATCATTTGAAATGATTTCTTTTCCTCTATTTTTGAATTACATTAATAGATTTTCTAAGGTTATAATACTTTTTAACTGTATATAACTAATCCACAATTAATTTTTGGCTAGAAAGTTGTAGAAAACACATTTCAAAAGGTGCTATATTCTCTGTTATAGGAAGCTGTCTTCAAAGAAAATGGAGATAACATACTAGGAAACTCAGTAGTTGACCAAAGGTAAGACTAGAAAACCAAAAAAACATATATTTTTTTCTAATTATAATGAATTATTGTTTAAATAATTCCTTTAGAATTAGGAATTTTTATTTTGTAATCTGGAACTCTGTTGGTGTAGTGCCTAAGGTATTTGACTGCTAGCCAGAAGGCTGGCAGTTCAAACCCACCAGCCACTCACTCCTCAGAAGGAAGACTGGGCAATCTACTTCCGTAGAAATACCATCTCAGAAACCCAAGGAGGGGTTGTTATGAGTCAAATCGACTTAATGGCAGTGAGTTTTGTTTTGTTTTGTTTTTTTCATCATTATGTTTAAGGAACTCTGGTCATGCTGTGATTAAAGATTGGGCTGCTAACCAAAATGTTGCTGGTTTGAAATACCAGCTGCTCTGCTGGAGAAAGATGAGGCAAAAGATTTATAATCTTGGAAACCTTATGGCACAGTTCTACTCTGTTGTATGGAGTCACTGTAAGTCAATGGCTATAGGTTTTGTTTTGTTTTTGGTATCTTCAGGTTAAATATGCCATTGAATTAACAAGGAAAAAGCAAATGTTATAGAGTCTTGATAATGGCTCTTAGTTTGCAATTTCATAGGTTATACATTTATTAACTAGATGAGAAAATATGCCATATTTTTATTCTGTATTTTTTTTTCTTTAGCTTTTTAGCTCCTCTTATTACTGAGTATGATAAGCATCTGGAAGAGCTGAATGGGCAGCTGAAATATTATCAGGTATGAAATTATGGTTATGAAGCTTTATGTAATTTATTTTAAGAAAAGAAAAAGTAAAATAGGCTCCCATTCTTTTTAAAAACATTGATAATGGAGAAAGTATTTTATTATAAGTAATCAATTCTTGACTCTCTATAAGAGTTTGTGTATGTGTGTCTTGGTTGGGTTCTCAAGAAGAATAAAACCAATGATTGGTGTGTGTGTGTGTGTGTGTGTGTATATAGAAAGATTCACTTCAAGGAAATGGCTCATAAAATTGTAGGGGCTGGCAAGTCCAAATCTGTAGGTAAGACAGTATGTGGACATCTCTACTATCTCACAGGGTTGGGGTGGAATGTTCTGGCAAATCTGAAATAGGTAGATGAGGCAGCAAGTCAGAGACTTCTGCAGGCTTATGTCCCAAGATCTGGAGGAAGACAACGAGAAGAATACAGGGACAAGATACAGAGAGCATATGCTGTGCTAGAATATCTACTTATTTTTCTGGAGGCTGACTATAACCACAAGAAAACTCCCCTTTCAATTGATTGGTTAATCGAATCAGAGTGCATCGTGGAAGGTGAATACATTATGTTAGGTTATGTCAGTTTACGGAATAGCAACCAGTCCAGTATCTGGCCAAATTGAGACATAAAATTAACCAGTCTGTGTGTATGTGTGTGTTGTGTGTGTGTGTGTGTGTGTGTGTGTAAATTCCTGCCTTCTGGTAATCTTTAAATTAAATCTGTAATTACCCACTTCTCAAGAAGACCTATAACTGTCTCACATCCTTTAGGCCTTTTTCCTGTTCTACCTGTATTTTGCATTATTTGCAGAGTTTATTTTTTCCCAGTTTCAAATGTTACGTTTGTTAGGTTTTAGATACTGTTGGTTTAATTATAATACAGGTAATTCCTGATTTACGACAGGATTCCATTCTAACAGCTCTGTCATAAATCAGTTCTGTCGTAAGTCAAATACCTTTTTTTTTTTTTAGTTTTCATTATTAGTGCCTTTTGTTATATCTTTATAAACCTGATCTTTATTTGTTTCTAGGGGTTGGAAACATTACCTATAAATTTACAAATAATGATAATATCAGAAAATTACATGCTGCAACATTTATGTAGTACATTATTACTAACAATCAGATATACGAAAAACAAAATAAAACCAGATGGTCATAAGTGCAGTCTATTGTAACTCAAATATGTTGTAAGTCAGGGATTACTTGTATAGGTTTATGGTGCAGCAGCTTTTTTTCTGAAATCCTCTTAGTAATGAGGCTTTCTTTTAAGGGAGTGAAGAAACTGAGTCTGTCTATAAAAATAGATTATAACTCTGGGCTTCAGGGCTTTTAAGACAACGTTGTAGGAAGCTGTTAGAAAACTAATAGTCCAGCATTGTTCAGGATATAAGTGAATTTCAATGAACTCCATTTTTAGATTATACCTAATATTTAAGATGTATTACTTTGTTCTAGAAAGATCTTTTAAATCCTCCTTTCCAAATTTAACCTCTCTGATGGTACTGTATGACCATACACAGAAGCATTACTTAAATACAGTCATTTCCCAAACTGAGTCCTCTAGGAGGTGATGACTTCTTTTATAGAGCTTGAATATGCTCATAATTTTGTTTGACTCAGATACCGATCCCTGGATGGATTCAGTTGTGGCAAGTGTAGGGGGGCTGCCTTAGTTTAATGCAAATGGAGGAAAATTTAGCAACTTTGTGTGTAAACAACTCTTTGAGACTGATTTCCTTAGAATGTGGCTGTGGATGCAGACCCAGAGCTTTATTTTTCCTTTATTTTTCTCAATACATATACAAAGACAAGATACTAAGGTATACTTTTAAGTCTAGCCCTCAAATATATTTGGTGACTAGATATGCTAGCTCTGGCTTAACAAACTTCTATTTATAAATTAATGGATTTATGCATAGCTTTATAAAAAGAACATGGAATGCTTACAATTCTCTAAACAAAAGTTAGGTTCTTCCATTGCATCTGAAATGATTTATGCTTTAATTTCTTTGGTTATGCCTGTACTATATAAACTTATAAAGTAATTCTGACCTAATTCAAAAACAAGAATCTTTTTTAATTGTAGTTTCTGTTTTTTCATAGATTAATTAAATCTTTTTGTCTTTACTGTGTGTGCTTTTGAGCCTGTAGTCATTTAAATTTGAGACAGCTGTAGTAATATCTTTCAAGTTTTTTAATTGACAAAGCACAACAGAAAGCACACTCATGCATAAATGACATTTTGTTCTTATTTTAGAACTAATGATTGTTAAAGTTTCTGCTGAAATCACTTTTTATGAATTGCCATAATGATGTATATGGTTTGATTGTTAGAATGTGTAATACTTATTTATATTAAATTTAAATCTTTTTACATTTTTTATAATCTGGTGGCGTAGTGTCTGAGGCATTTGACTGCTAACCAGAAGGCTGGTGGTTCAAACCCACCAGCCACTCCTCGGAAGGAAGGTTGGGCAATCTACTTCTGTAGTGATACTGCCTCAGAAATCCAAGAAGGGATCACTATGAGTCAGGTCTGACTCCACGACTGTGTGTTTGTTTTTTTTATCTGATTATTTGTTTCATCGGCTTTTTACTAAGATGTTTAACTTCATTATTCCTTTGACATTCTCTGTCACCTAAAGGTAATTATTGAATTAATTTTATTTTACTTTTATTTTGTGTTGTGACTCAGATGAAAGTTTAGAGGTCATTGGTTTTCAGTTCAACAATTCATACACATTTTGTTTTGTGACATAGTCATTGGAATCCCCACACTGTAACAGCACTCTTGCACTTCCTTCCTGTGTTTACCATTTCCTTTCCTCCTCCTTTCCTGTCTCTTCCTGCCTTATTAGCTTTATCCCTGAGAAAATGCTGCCCTTTTTATCTTCTGTAGTTCACTACTCTAATGAATACATACCACCTTGGTATTTCTGTATTCTTTATAGGCCTATCATTTGGTTGAAAGTTGAGCCCCGGGAGTGAGTTCATTTCCAGGCCAGAAGGGTGTCTAAGGGCCATAGTCCTTGGGGTTTCACCAGTCTCTGTCAGACCAGTAAGCCTGGTCTTTTTTATGATTTTGAGTTTTGTTTTACATTTTTCTCCCCTCTATCCAGGACCTCCTATTGTGATCCTTTTCAATTGTGGTAGCCACGCACCATTTAGTTCTTCTGGTCTCAGGGTCATGAAGGCTGGGATTCACAAAGCCCATTAGTCTTTTGGACTAATTGTTTCCTTATGTCTTTGATTTTCTTCACTCTTCTTTGCTCTGGATGGGGAGAGACCAATAGTTTAATCTTAGATGGCCTCTCACAAGCTTTTAAGATCCCAGTGGCTAGTCACCAAAGTAGAATGTAGGACATTGTCTTTATGAACTGTGTTATACCAATTGACCTATGTGTCCCCTGAGACAATGGTACTGCATCCCCATTCCCAGCGACTCATTCCCTCAAGGTGTTTGGCTATGGCTAAGAAGTTTTCCTAACTTTGCTCCCTGTATGCTCTACTATATTCATGGATATATGTGCAGCATATATAAATACTTGTGTAGAAATAGCCTCTGTCAAACCTATATATATGTGTGAGTTTAGCTCAATTTATTTTAAGAGACGAAGAAGCTGTTGAAGAAAGTGCAAGAGTCCATAATAAGAAAAGTTTCTACTTACTTGAGAGAGAAAAAAGATGTTGACAGCTACTTTTAAGAATAGTTGCTCGTAGGTATTAACTAGTAGACTAGTTTTAATAACCTATGTTACTGACCCAGTCAAAAAATAATATATCTTGAAAGCAAGAAAAGTACAGCTGTAATTCTCTATATGAAAGATTTCCTGCTAGAAAATTTAAGTAGTAGGGGAAATTTTTTGATGTGAGAAGTACTGTTGAAATTTCATTTCCTTCCAGGTCTTAAATATTGTTAAATATTTTATAGTAAGGAATTTTTAATATGGCTATAATTATGAACCTTTAATACAATAGCTAATGCATATGTATCTACATGATTATTATTTAAGAGTAATAAGTACTTTTCAACACACACCCATATTTAAAAAAAAAAATCTGAAGACTAGTTTTAAAAAATGTATAAAATGTGGATAAGTACTACAATAAAACTCAAACCTCTTTGTTACTGTGGCATTTGTGACCTTCACCTGCCTTTCTAATTTTCTCTCTTCTGCATCACTCTACGTATGGTCAATTCTCAATTATCTAGTAGTGAATTAATTCATTTTGTAATAGTTGTGATTTAGGCACAGCAAAGACCTGGGAATGGTTCATCTTTCAAGCCAATTTGTAGTTAGATTTGGTCATTACTGATTTTCTAGATCAAGCTGTCTTGGGCTTCTGTGGTTGAAAGGGTGAGAGAAAGGCTTGGAGTACTACTGCCTGGTCCATCTTCCCCTTGCCAGATTCTCTTTAAGCTTGTCTTCTCTTCTTTAGTCAAGACTAATGGACATATCATGAGTTGATTGCAGTTTTGCTTTAATACGATATTCACAGAATGTTCTTCCTGACGTCCCCTTTCTGCCCATTCAGGTTTATTGAAAGCTGTGTTACCCCAAATTTTTTGCTCCTTTGGTTTTACAAATACTTCTCTCTATTTGAATGCCCTTCTGCTTTTGAAATCTTAACAATCCCTTGGTCCTCTCAGAGAAAATTAATCATACCTTTATCCCATTACTTTTACAGTATGCATTTCATTCTTTTTTTTATTTTAGTTAGTGATTTTTTACCATCTTTCAAATAAAGTATATGTTTGAAGGTAGTGAACATCTTTGTTTACCATAGAAGCCTTGTATAGTGCAGAGAATTTAGATACTTAATAAAAGTGGTGAATTAGAGACTGAAGACAGCCTCTATTTTCTTTTTGCTAATAGTATTTTACCTTTTGAAATATTAGAAAAATAAAAGCAGCCATATGGGCTTCACATAAACGAAGGTGAATTAATTTAAAATACATTTAAGGTGTAGAGAGATCTTTGATGTATGTTACAGTGCCATACTGAGGAGCATCTTTTATCTGTTCTCAAAATCTGTAAATCAGAATTATGTTTATAAATATATCTCAATGTGTTATAGAAAATATTTTTTATGTTCTGTTCCAACTGAATGTTTTATTATGTTCTGTGTTTCATTAAAGTATCCACAGTTATGTTTGCTTATCAGAAGTAAAGAATAATTCTTATCAACAGACTAGTGTCATAGAATCTAACTGCTTGCATGTGAGTGTACTATTTAATGGAGACCTAATTGTCTGGAAAATGTGTCACTATAACCATATTTTATTCTTTCAGAAGCAAATGGGTGAGATGAAACTACAACTTGACAGTGTCATCAAAGAAAATGAAAGGTAGAAAAATTAGCTGTTGGTTCTTTCTTTTATTATTATCTTATTCTTATCTTTGTTTTTAAACACTGTCAAATTGATTCTGAGTCATTGCAACCTTGTGTACAACAGAAGGAAACACTGCCTGATCTTGCACCATCCTCTCAATCATTATTATTATGTTTGAGCCCGTTGTTAAAACAAGTGTATCAGTTTGAGGGTCTTCCTTGTTTTGCCAACCCTCTACATTACCAAGCATGATGTCCTTTTCTGGGGACTGGGCCCTCCTGATAACAGGTCCAAGTATGTGAGATAAAGTCTCACCATCTTTACTTCTAAGGAACATTCTGGTTGTACTACTTCCAAAACAAATTTGTTCATTCTTTTGGCAATCCATGGTATATATGCAATATTGTTAGCTGACATGATAATTCAAAGGCATAATTCAAATTTTTCTGTTTTCCTTATTCATTATTATCTCAGGTCTCTTTTACTTGTTATTTGCTATTTATATATTTTATTATAGTAGCTCTGGTAGCATAGTGCCTAAGGCACTTGACTGCTAACCAGAAGGCTGGCGGTTCAAACCCACCAGCCACTACTTGGAAGGAAGAGGGGCAATCTACTTCTGTAGTGATACTGCCTTGGAAACCCAAGGAGGGGTTGCTATGAGTTGGGTCGGACTCGATGGCACATAACAACGGCAACAACAACATATTTTATTATACCTACAGATACTGGTTAAGAGTGTTGACTTTGGGGCCAAAGTTTCTGTTTGACTCCTAGTTCTATTACTTATTTAGCTATGTGACCTTGGACAGGCTACATAACCTCTTTGTGCTTTAGTTTCCTCATCTATAAATTGGAGATGCTAACATAATATATTTTCTAGGGTTGTTTGTAAGGGATAGAATGTATGTTTGAAACAGGGTATATAACAAGCACTTTATAAGTACAGTGAAACCTGAAAAAGCCAGAACCTCTATAAGGCAAAAACCTGTAAGAGAAGGAAATTTCAAACATTTCCCACGATATACTATAGAAAAATGATGACTGCACCCCAGCAGAAAATTTGTCTTCATGAGCTGCTCTTTGAAATCTACTGTTCAGCTCTTTTATCATTTCCTCCATTTGCCTTAGATACCCTCCATTCAAGAGCAAGTTTCAGAGTCTCTTCTGACATACATTTTGGTCTTTTCTTCCTTTCCAGTCTTTTTAATGACCTTTTGCTTTCTTCATGGATGATGTTCTTGATGTCATCCCACAATTATCTGGTTTTCAGTCATTGGTATTCAGTACGTCAAATCTATTCTTCAAATGGTCTCTAAATTCATGTGGGACATAATCAAGGTCATATTTTGGCTCTCACGGACTTGTTTTAATTGTCTTCAGCTTCAACTTGAATTTGTATAGGAGCAGTTGGTGGTCCTTTCCACAGTCAACTCCTGGCCATGTTTTGGCTGAAGATACTGAGCTTCTTGATCGCCTCTTTCTGCAGATGTAGTCTTCTGATTTCAGTGTATTCCGTCTGGTGAAGTCCATGAGTGTAACCACTATTTATGTTGTTGTTAAAAGTTATTTGCAATGACTAAGCTCTTGGTCTTGCAAAATTCTGTCATGCAACCTCTAGTGTCATTTCTGTCACCAAGGCCATATTTTCCAACTGCTGGTTATTCTTCTTTGTTTCCAACTTTTGTATTCCAGTCATCAGTGATAATCAACACATCTTAATTGCATGTTTGGTCAATTTCAGACTGCAGAAGTTGGTAAAAGTCTTCAGTTTCCTTGTCTTTGGCTTTAGTGGTTAGTGTGTAAATTTGAATAATAATGGTATTAACTGGTCTTCCTTGTAGGTGTGTGGATATTATCCTATCACTGACAGCATTGTACTTCAGGGTAGGTCTTGAAACATTTTTTGTCACAATGAATGCCACACCATTCCTCTTCAATTTGTCATTGCCAGCAGATGGTTGTCTGCTTAACAATGGCCCAAACCAGTGCATTTCAGCTCACTAATGCCTAGGATATCAATCTTTATGTATTCCATTTCATTTTTGACAACTTCAGATTTTCCTAGTTTCATACTTTGTACATTCCTTGTGTCAGTAACTAATGGATGTTTGCAGCTGTTTCTTCCCATTTTGAGTCTTGCTCCATCAGGAAATGAAGATCCTGAAAGCTTAACTCCATCCACATCATAAAGGTCGACACTACTTTGAGGAGATAAGTCTTCTCCAGTCATATTTTGAGTGCCTTCTAACCTGAGGGGCTCATTTTCTGGCACTATATTGGACAGTGTGTCAGGGCTATTCATAAAGTTTTTTAATAATATATCAGACAGTGTTTCACTGCTGTTTATAAGGTTTTCACTTCTTTGAGAAGTGGATGGCTCCTTCCTTCTTCCAAGTTTTTCTTAATCTGGAAGCTCTACTGAAAGCTGCCCACTGTGGGTGACCCTGCTCATATTTGAAATACCGATGGCATCGCCTCCAGCCTCATAGCAACATACAAACATGACTGACAGATGAATGGTGGATTTTATTCTTAGTGTTTGTATAATCTGGAAGAGATCCATATTTGCACCCTTTCCAAAGAAAGATAATTCCACAGAATGTGGAAACTATCGAATAATATCCTTGATATCACACGCAAGTAAAATCGTACTGATGATAATCCAGAAATGGTTGCAGCACTATATGACAGAGAAATTCCAGAAATGAAAACTGGATTCAGAAGGGGATGTGGAATGAAGGATATCATAGCTGAAGTCAAATGGATCTTGATTCAAAGCTAAAAATACCAGAAAGATGTTTACTTGTGTTTTATTGACTATGCAAAGGCATTAAATTGTGTGTTATCATAACAAATTGTGGATAACATTGAGAAGAATGGGAATTCCAGAACACTTAATTGTACTCATGAGGAACCTGTACGTAGATCAGGAGACTATTGTTTGAACAGAACATGGGGATACTGAATGGTTTAAAATCAAGAAGGGAGTGTGTTGGGGTTGTATTCTTTCAGCATACTTACTCAATCTATAATTCAGGAAGCTGGACTACATGAAGAAGAATGCGGCATCAGGATTGGAAGAAGACTCATTAACAACCTGCAGTATGCAGATGACACAGCTTTGCTTGCTTAAAGTGAGGATGACTTGAAGCATTTACTGATGAAGATAAAAGACTACAATCTGCAGTATGGATTACACCTCAATACAAAGAAAACAAAAATCCTCACAACTGGACCAATAAGAAGTATCACAATAGATGGAGAAAAGATTGAAGTTGTCAAAGACTTCATATTACTTGGTTCTACAATCATTGCCAGTGGAAGCAGCAGTCAAGACATCAAAAGACATATTGCATTGGGCAAATCTGTTGCAAAAGATCTCTTTCAAGTGCTGAAGAGTGAAGATGTCTCCTTGAAGACTACGATGCACCTAACCCAAGCCATGGTGTTTTCAATCGCCTCATGTATGTGAGAACTGAACAATGAATAAGAAGATCGAAGAAGAGTTGATCCTTTTGAGTTGTGGTATTGGCAAAGAATGCTAAAAGTACTGTGGACTGCTAGAAGAACTAACAAAGTGCAGAAGTGCAGCTGGAATGCTCCTTGGAAATAAGAATGGCCAGACTTCATCTCACCTACTTTGGTCATATCAGAAGGGGCCATTCTCTAGAAAAGGATATCTGCTTGGTAAAGTGGAGACGCAGCGAAAGAAGGGAAGGCCATCAACAAGGTGGATTGACATAGTGGCTACAAGGATGGGCTCAGGTATGGCAAAGATCATGAGGCTGGCACAGTTGCAGGCAGTGTTTCGTTCTGTTATACATAGGTCGCTATGAGTCGGAGATGTCTTGACAGCACATAGCAGCAACAACATTCATATAATCTAAGAAATGTTTCATTTAAGGATATACAACTATATTTATTACATATCATTCTATGATTAAGATTGATAATAAACATTACCAATGATTCTGTATGGTCTGGTACAGGAGGAAGTCCAGGGGTGGGGGTGGGGAGGAGAAGACATCAAGAGTTACTGCACTGAGGGACACTAACCCTTGTGAGTAACATCACTGCTTAGATTTGTGTCATTTTAAAATAAAACACTTCATTATATCGTTTTGTGGGTTCTTATGCTTTTTTTTGGTACTTGTTCTAAAAATATCTGTAATTTATTTAAAGGTAAGATTATTGTTGTATATAAGACTTTCAGAATTGTGGTAATGTTTATGTAGGAATTACTGGAAAATAAAGCTCCTTATATTCTGGGTTTCATGGCCAGCAAACATTTTAATCTACTTTGTTTATTAACTAGAACTAGTTAACTGAGTTTTGTGAAACAACGAACAAAGTAGCAAATACTTCTACAAGATTTACTATCTCATTTTCATTTAACTCACTTGATTAAACCACTGTGATATTCTGTTTTTCTGAGTGGCTTGCTTTATCATTTAATAAGGTGTAATATCAGAATGTTACCTTTTGGAAAAATTTAAATCTCCTTTGGACAATTTAAACTATTCTTGAATTATTTATAACTAGTTTAATGCATTTGAAATTATTATATAATTTTTGTTTTCATAGCACAGTATTCAATCATGACTAACACTTTCAATATTTGGTATGGGCTGGGCAGTGTTTCATTCTGCCGTGCGTATGGTCCCTGTGAGTTGGAACCAACTCACCGACTCCTACCAACAACAATTTTTGATACAAAGTCTACTTAAAAGTGATTTTGTGTAAAGAATGATTTTTGGCTCAAATGTTTATTTTTAATTGCCTCATATGGTAATTACTGCTACTAAAATAAATTTAGATTATTTTTTATGTTAACTGTTCTACAGGTTACATGGTGAATTAAAAGATGCTGTTGAAAAGCAATTGGAGGCCCTTCCCTTTGACACAGAGATGGGAAATGATATTTACACAGATGATGAAACAGTCAGGAACCTTCAAGAACAATTACAACTAGCCAATCAAGTAAGTAACATGATTTTAAAAATTATTTCCTGAATAAACAATTTTAAAAAAATCTGTCTTAGTCATTATTTATTGGCAGTAACAGCAGGATAACAAAATTGTTTACACTTAATGATTTTCTATAGTTTAGAAGGTTTCTGATACTTTATTATCCTCAAGTAATAAAACTTATTGTTAATACCCTACTTATTTTAAATATAGTTGCCAAATAAATGTCAGTTCCAAGGTGATGCTGATCCTGCTAGTCCTTTGAGAACCTCTGTTCTGGGAGAATCTGTCTATCTGTAGTCCAGATGATTCTTGTCAAGAAGCAGGTTTGGGGAAACAGTGCATCCTTTTGTGGTGTGGGGTATTTTTGTCACCATTCACAGAGAAAGAAACTGAGTCTGAAAGAAATAAAATGAATTGTATAGGATCTTTCAGCCACGAATTATGGATCTATCCCAAGTCTTCTGTCCCCAGATTTTGTGCTTGTCTCCAATTTTTTAAACTATATAAGTTTTGAATAAACTAATCAATGGTGTTAGAATTCAGGGTAATGGTTATTTGTGGGGAAGATGGTAGTAACTGAAAGAGATCACAAGAGGGCCATCTGGCTTTTGGGTACTAGTAATAACGTCCTATTTTTTTGAACTGGGTCCTAGTTACATGGATGCACACTCTTTGTAAACATTCATATTTTGTGCATATTCTGAATATTATACTTAAATAATATTTTATTTAAACTTATATAAATATATTATTTTAAATGTATATTCTGTGCTTCCAAAAATGAATCTCTTTTCACTACACTGTCTAAACTTCTTACTAAAACTGCAATGGTAGATTAGCTGTGACCTGGGATTTAAAATTTTGGACTTTGGAGACAAGCAAAGGAAAGTTTCTTTCCAACTCTGTCTACAGTATGCCCCGGGCATGTTGTGGGAACCTCAGCCTTCACATCCCTAAAGTAGGAATAACAATCTTTACCTCCTGGTTTAATGTTTCTCAACCTTTATGGTTTCATGACCCCTTTACAGTCTTAAAAGTTATGGAGAGTCCTAAAGAGCCTTTTGTTTTTGTCAGTTATTTGCAGTTGTCTCTCGGTATCTGCAGAGGATTGGTTCCAGGACCTCTGTGGATACCAAAATTCATGGATATTCGAGTCTCTTATATAAAATGGTGTAGTATTTGCTTACAACTTATGCACATCTTCCTGTATACTTTAAGTGATCACTAGATTACTTATAATACCTGAATACAATGTAAACACTATGCAAATAGCACTTTATGCTCCCTCTTAGTCTTTGAGGGATTGCTTTGACAGTTGAATTTTTTTTTTCCCTGAAATGCTGAACCTATGGATATGGAGGGTTGACTGTAGTGATCTTAACCATATTAGAAATTGAATTAGATAGTTTTTAAAATAAAGGGAGCCTAAGCACACATTCCCTTAGCCAATCAGAGTGATGACAACATCACCCATCATGCAGCCTTTAGAAAACGACATTGAATACTTGTGAGATGAGAGTGAAAAGGTAAATACTATCTGCACATTATGCTGAATAGAGATTTCACCTCAAGGACTCCTGAAAGTGTCTTTAGGACCCTAAAGGTCCCTGTGTCACACTTGGAGAATTGTTGAATTAAAAGAACAATTAATGACTTGAGAAATTTCTCATTAGAAAATGGCAGGTGAAAACAGTACAATACAAACATGATTCCCAATTCTGTTAAGAAAAAAAGCTCTCCCCTAGAACCACATCTATAAACATGAGCACATCCAACAGTTACAAAGATAATTATATCCAGATACTAGTATTTATTATTAGGTTGTAAAAATAAGTCATTTTATTTTCTTTATTTTCCTAATTTGCTACAATAAATATTTATTACTTTTATAATAAGAAAAAACAAATTTAACTTTGTGAGGGGAGATTTCTTCTTCATTAGTTTCTAAAACTTAACTTTGTTGTAAAACAAGGACTAGTTGCTGTTGATTGCCACTAAGGTGACCCCAGATATGTCAGAGTAGAACTGCTTTTACTTTTTCAGTTTTCCATCAAATTTGCAATGGCTGATTTTTTAGAGGTAGATCACCAGGCCTTTCTTCAAAGACACCTCTGGGTGTACTTGAATCTCCAACTTTTCATTTAGCAGCCAAGTATGTTAACTCTTTGCACTACCCTAAGACTCCCTGTGGAACAGGAAGAATAATTTAAACCTACATGTGTTATTGAAGGCTTTTAATATGGCCATAGAATTCTATTAAAAAACCATTTGCAAAGTAAAGAATTTTTTCTTTTAAACTATATTCTCTAAGTTATTACTAATGCATTTCTATATCATCAAAAAGTTATAACTATAATCTTTACACAAGTTTTATATTTTTTTACTTATAAAAATTATATGCTCTATTAGTAATATGCAATGATAACCTACTTTTGTTTTACAGGAAAAAAACCAGGCAGTGGAACTCTGGCAGACAGTTTCTCAGGAGTTGGATAGACTGCAGAAACTTTACCAGGAACACATGACTGAAGCTCAGATTCATGTAGTTGAAAGTCAAAAGCAGAAGGTACTCTTCAGTTTCTTCTTCTTTTTTTTTTTTTTTTTGTATATTTATAAGGAATTCTGGAGAAAGTCACTTTTGGAAAGGAATGTCAAAGTCTCTTCTATGTTATTTATGTCAACAATAAGTAGATTTTTGATAGTTAGAAATCTCTTGAACAGATAATTAAAGTACTGCCCAGTCTGCATTGGGTTCTAGAATGGAATTCAGTGACAGCTTTATTTAGTTCTAAGAGGCAGCTATGTGTACTGGTGAAGATGATTACATGCAAATAGACCCCAAAGCTTTTATTTGCTTGATTTCTGACCTGGCTACAAAAACTGTGTTTAGCTTAAGTGAAGATCCTTTTCTCAAATATAATAATAATGCTATGTAAAATGAAAATGACACCTTTAAATAGGTGTCACTAAATAGATGTCAAGTTTGTCTAACACAATCAGAATAAAATTTTACAGTGGTCATTAGGATTTATGTCCATCCAAAGTAAGAATCATTTTGTACTCTTTCTATTAAGTAGACATCAAGCTTTTGTTGTACATCTCTATTGACAGGAACTCAAAATCTCACAAGACCATCCATTCCACTGGGAAATCTGCCATATTTGTTATTCCATTGGTTCCTATGAGTACGATGGAGTAATTCCAATTTAATCCCTTTTCTGTGGATTTTGAAAAGGCAGCTATCATGCCTCTCTTCAACTCTCCTTCAACAGACATTTCAAATTTCAGTATGAATGTTCCTATTATCATTTTAATTAGGAATTTATACCTGGGGGGGGGCTTACATGATTCTTTGCTGCTTAAAAAATAATTTTTTTATACATGCCCTAGTTTGAAAATAATCCATGTGTGGTCTGATCCTTAGGACTTTTACCACTGAGATCCTGAAACCATTTTTAATAAATGTGAGTCCTTTAGATCTGTTTCCTTATTTAGGTCAGTCACTAAGCCTATTCAATATATTTTTTTTCACATGAGTAAGATCATTCTTATACTGTAGCTATACAGTGAGTTTTTTTGTTTTTGCACAAGACTGCATTTTTCCTTCTTTCCCTGGTTATTTACTGATCTTTAATTTTTCCCTCCCAACTTTTTGTGTCACTTGCATAAATGATGTTTAAAGGAGCAGAGCAAGTAAACAGCAATTGAAAACGTGTGGAGCACTCAAGCGATGAGAATATTAAAAAAGGGGACAAAGCATAATAACTTGTACCATGGTTTGATTTATAAGTTTTGAGTTAAGTGCAATTTTCCATTCTTAAACAAATTCTCTCTAGCATGTTTGTTTACTAATAGGTTGATTTCTAAAAATAATGGGTTTCATGTAAAACATAAATAGCTACATTAGTTTCAGCATTGCCACCCTTTTTAATAGTTAAATTATAAATTGTATTTCTTCAACTACTAATTCATATATTAATAATAATATTAGAAACAACGGATTTTGTCTAGACTTGGGTATAATGATTTTTAGATTTGATTTTAGTGTAATTTAAAATACGAATTATAAGCAAAATGGTATTTACTCTGCTTCTGTACCTTCCTGCTTTAGGATCAGTTGACTAATTTTCAACAGCTAACCAAGCAACTTCATGTTACTAATGAGAACATAGAAATGGTAAGTGAAAATATCCATTTAGCGTTCTCATTTGTTTAAACTATAAATAAAGCATCATATTTATTTCTGCTAATGTAAATTAACAAAACCAAAAACTCAACCTACTGCTATTGCATTGATTCCAACTCATAGCAAACATATAGGATGGAATAGAACCGCTCCATAGGGTTTCCAAGGCTATAAATCTTTATGGAAGCAGACTGCCACATCTTTCTCCTTTGGAGTGGGTGGTAGGTTTGAACCTCCACCAGCCTTTTGGTTAGCAGCTGAGTACTTTAACCATTGTGTACCAGGGCTTCTTATGTCAGCAACTACAACAAAATATTGCATGAAGTATAAATGGGCAGAATTCTTTTCTCTTTCTCTGTCTCTCTTTCTTTCACATCACATTAATTTTTGGAGATCTAAAAGCTACAATTTATTTGAAAAATATTCTAATCTGAAAATACTCTTAGGATCCTTTTTTAGGATCTCCTAAAAATAGTCTTAAGATTGTGAGCTTCTCAAGAGTAGAGCTCATGCTTTATTTTTTGTATTTCATCTAGCACATTGCTAGCTATAGCGTGATGTTTGTTAAGCAAATGAATTTCGCAGTTCCTTAAAAATATTAAGAAACTAAGAACCTCTTTTTTTTTTTTTTTTTGTACTCACCACTTATACTAACTTTGGTCTACCTAAATTTCCTTATATTTTTTTTCCTGAAACAAATATAATTTGCTTTCCTAATTCTGCTCTTAACTGTCTTTTCTTTACTTTCTTAGAATTTTATTTTTACCTCATTGTTGAGTAATAGTATTATGACATGCCAGGTAATGCCGCTCTTTCCTGTCTTCTTTCTTGGCTCAGTGATAGTGCTACTTCTTATTAATAACTAAAAAGAATGTCTTTGTTTAAGGGTGATGTTATACCATCAAAAGTAAGTTACCTAATTTTATTCTACATTTTAAAATGTTTTCTCTTAGCTGTGTAAAATATTGTTAAATCTCTCACTATTCTACTTTTCTATCACTCATCTGTCAGTTTGTTATTCTGTGGTTGCTTGCATGTTGCTTTGAGGCTAGAGGCTATGCCACTGTATTTCCATTACTAGCAGAGTCACACACATGGTGGACAGGTTTCAGTGGTGCTTCCACACTAAGACAGACTGGGAAGAAGTACAGGGCCATCTAGTTCTGAAAAAGTTGGCCACTGAAAACCTTATGATATAGTATCTCATACAGTGTGTGATATAGTGCCAGATGAGCCCCTCAGGTTGGAAGGCTCTCAAAATATGACTGGGGAAGAGCTAACTCCTCAAAGTAGAGTCGACCTTAATGATGTGGATAGACTAAGGCTTTCAGGACCTTCATTTGCTGATGATGCACAACTCAAAATGGGAAGAAACAGCTTTAAACACTCATTAATAAGTGGAGCATGGAATGAACAAAGTATGAATGTAGGGAAATTAGAAGTTGTCAAAAATGAAATGGAATGGATAAACATTGATATCTTCAGCATTAGTGAGCTACAGTGGACTGATGTTGGCTATTTTGAATCATCAGACATGTGATCCACTTTGCCAGGGATGACCAATTGAAGAGGAAAAGTATTGTTTTCACCATCAAAAAGAGCATCTCAAAATCTGTCCAGAAGTACAGTGCTGTCAGTGAGAGGACAATATCCATATGCTTATCTCCATGAGGATGACCAGTTAACACGACTGTTATTCAGATTTATGCACCAACCACTAAAGCCATAGATGAAGAAATTGATTATTTTTATCAACTTCTGCAGTCTGAAATTGACCAAATATGTAATCAAGATGTATTGATTACTGCTGGAGATGGTAATGTGAAAGTTGGAAACGAAGAATCATTGATAGTTAGAAAATATGGCCTTGGTGATAGAAATGAGACTTGAGATTGTATGCTTAAATTTGTCAAGATCAATGACTTACTCGTTGCAAACACCTTTTGCAACCATATAAACGTCAGCTATACATGTGGACCTCGCCAGTTGGAATACACAGGAATCTGTGGAAAGATGTGATGGAGAAGCTTAATATCGTCAGGCAGACAAAGCCAGAAGCTAACTGTGGAACAGACCATCAGTTGTGCATATGCAAGTTCAAATTGAAGCTGAAGAAAATTGAAAAAGTCCACAAGAGGTAAAATAAAACCTTGGTTATATCCCACCTAAATTTAGAGACCATCTAGGAACAGATGTGACATATTGAACAGTGATGGCCAAAACCAGACAAATTGTAGGATGACATCAAGAACGTCCTATACAAAGAAAGCAAAATGTCATTAAAAAGATAAAAGAAAAAAAGACCAAAGTGGGTATCAGAAGAGACTCTGAAAGTTTCTCTCTAACAGAGAGTAGCTAAAACAAATGAAGCAAATGATGAAAGAGCTGAACAGAGGATTTCAAAGGGCAGTTCAAGAAGACAAAGTGAAGTAGTATGATGAAATGTGCAAAGACTTGGAGTTAGGAAACCAAAAGGGAAGAACATGCTTAGCATTTCTCAAGCTGAAAGAACTGAAGAAAAAATTCAAACCTCAGGTTGCAGTATTGATGGATTCCATGCAGGAAGCATCAAAAGGACATGGAAGGAATATACAGAGTCACTGTACCAAAACGAATTGATTGACATTCAGCTATTTCAGGAGGCAGCATACAATTAAGAGCCAGTGGTATTGAAGGAAGAAGTCCAAGCTACACTGAGAGAGTTGGTGAAAAGCAAGGGTCCAGGAATTGATGGAATATCCATTATTGTTGTTATGTGTTGTTCAGTCAGCCCTGACTCATAGTGACCCTTCCTTGGATGTCTGAGGCAATATCACTACAGGAGTAGATTGCCCAACCTTCCTTCCTAGGAGTGGCTGGTGGTTTTGAACTGTAGCCTTCTGGTTAGCAGTCAAGTGCCTTAAGCACTGTGCTACCAGAGCTCCCGGAATACCCATTGAGATGTTTAAACAAATGATGCAGCACTGGAGGCACTTACTTGCTTATGCCAAGAAATGTGGAAGACAGCTACCTGGACAACTGACTGGAAGAGATCCATATTTTTGTCCATTCCTAAGAAAGATAATCCAACAGAATGTGGAAATTATCAAACAGTATCATTAATACGACACATAAGTAACATTTTGTTGAAGGTAATTAAAAAATGATGGCAGCAGTATATTGAGTGGGAACTTCCAGAAAGGGTATCATTGCTGATGTCAGATAGATCTTGGCTGAAAGCCAAGAATACCAGAAACATGTTTACCAGTGTTTTCTTGACTATGCAAAGACATTCATCTCTGTGGATCATTGTTGTTGTTATGTGCCGTCGAGTCAGACCCAACTCATAGCGACCCCTCCTTGGGTTTCTGAGGCAGTATCACTACGGAAGTAAATTGCCCATTCCTTCGGAGGAGTGGCTGGTGGATTTGAACCGCCAGGCTTCTGGTTAGCAGTCAAGTGCTTTAGGCACTATGCTACCAGAGCGCCTCTGTAGATCATAGCAAATTAAAAATAACATTGTGAAAAATGGGAATTCCAGAACACTTAATTGTCTTCATGAGGAACCTGTACATAGACTAAGAGGCTGTTGTTTGAACAGGATAAGTTGATACTGCATGGTTTAAAATAAGGAGGTCTGTGGTCAGGGTTGTATCATTCAAGCTGTATGCTGAGCAAATAATCCAGGAAGTTGGACTACAAGAAGAATGCAGCATCAGAATAAGACAAAGACTCATTAACAACATGCAATATGCAGATGACACAACCTTGCTTTCAGAAAGTGAAGAAGATTTGCATCACTTATGATGAAGATCAAAGACTATAATCTGCAGTATGGATTATACCTCAACATAAAATAATAAATCCTCACACCTGGAACAATGAGCAACATCACGATAGATGGAGAAAAGATTGCAGTTGTCCAAGATTTCATTTTACTTGGATCCACAGTCAACACCCATGGAAGCAGCAGTCAAGAAATCAGGTGTCATATTGCACTGGACAAATCTGCCAGAAAAGACCTCTTTAACGTGTTAAGAAGGAAAGATGTCACTTTGAAGACTAAGGTGCGCCTAACCAAACACATGGTATTTTTAGTTTCCTCATATGTGTGTGAAAGCTAGACAGTGAATAAGGAAGACTGAAGAAGAGTTGATGCCTTTGAATTGTAGTGGTGGTGAAGAATACTGAAAATACCATGGACAGCCAGAAGAATGAACATATCTTCCCTGGAAGAAGTACAGCCAGAATGCCCCTGGGAAGTGAGGATGGCCAAACTTCATTTCACGTACTCTGGTCATGTTGTCAGAAAGGACCATTCCCTGGAGAAGGGTATCAAGTTTTGGTGAAGTGGAGGGTCAGTGAAAAAGGGGCACCCTCATTGAGATGGATTGACCCAGTGGCTGCAGGCATGGCCTAAAGCAAAGCAAGGATTGTGAGGATGGCCCAGGACCTGGCAGTATTTCATTCTGCTGTGCACAAAGTCACTATGTGTCGGAGCCAGCTCGACAGCACCTGACATAAAGAACCTTCTACTTATACTAATACATAGGAATTTCTAAGCACTTATAATTTTTGATAATAAATTTCTTAGGGTTTTAAAATTATGTTTAAGTACTCCAGAGCAAGGTGATTGATTTCCATAATTAAGACAGGTTTTTTAAAATTAACATAAATAAATTGCTATATGGATTAATACTTTAACATAACCACAGTTAGTTATTAATTTTTTCAGTTTCTCTCTTTAAATGTGGGAATTACGTAATTCTTTGGTATCTTATACTGCAAAGCTACTATTTTATTATAAACAACCCACCAATATTTTAATGACAAAGACTTTTAGAGAAAGTTATACTAAGAAGGAATAGTCATAGAAGATACATTAATAATTTCTAAGGCATTAGATATTATTAATTATTAATAGTTTTAGGGCAAAAAATAAAAATAAACTGAATAGTACAAAAATTTTGGAGTGTCAAAATGCATAAAGTTGCATTATAAAAAGCAAAGACAAGATTATGAAGGTGGTTTAAGTAAAGGAAAATGGCTAAGAGCAACTTTAAAACTTAGTTTTTCTTAGTGTACATAATACATTAATAAAGCAGGTTTATGAGTTCAAAGGAAGCTAGTTAAATGATTGTAAAGATCTTGTATATTTCAAAGAACATTCATAGCATCACAGGAGCAAGTTTGAGTCAAATCAAATCAAGAGGTTAAAAAATTTGAAGAAAAGTGCCCATTAAAAACTAAATAGTTTCCATGAAAAAGTTTTCTGATAACCTGAATATACTCATTAAATGAATAGATCCTGATAGATATATAATAAAGCAATGAGAATACAATAAATAAATGAAATTCTTCTCATTACAAATACACATTAAGAATAGATAGAAGCCCAAATCCAAATAAAATTTTAAAAAAAAGGATAGAAGGTGAAGTGCCTTGACCTGAATGGTTTTGAAAATACAAGATTATATTTACTTATTATGGCTATAGACAACAGTGAGAGTTCCCATTTCCTAGAGATTACCATACTGAACGTATACTCTTTTTTGATATTTTCTCATTTCTTTGAAATTATTCAAAAATTTTAAGTGCATTCTAAGATTTTTGCACTATTTTAGGTTCTCTGAGTTGCAAGGGAAGTCTGTGTCTATACACAAAGCCTCTACCTATGTAGAAAAATTGAAATAATCAGCAAAAAAGGTGCCACAGTACATGATGTTTGGTGGGCCTGGTCCCTAGACCCTGATGAATCTCTATAATATTAATATAATGTCCTTTGATTACAAATACAGAGCAACAAAGTAATATTCATATGCAATTGTTGGGCTCCAACAAGCATTGCTAGCAAGTTTAATGACTTAATTCCCAATGCTAGCTGCTTAAAATGCATTATTCCAATTTGTATTTCCTCAAATTACTCTGCTGGAGTTCTCTCAAATAGTCAAAAACACAAACATTAATTATGCTAGCACCAAGTCAGTATATAATAAATCATTAATTGTACATTACAGACACTGTAGAAGCTAGAGATATGAATCAGTTTGGACTGAAGTAGTTGAGGTGCCTTCACAGAAGATTTTGAAAAGATGTTAGAGGTTATCTATTCCCCCAAATGATATAGACATCCTATTAAAGGTTTTCAATTATATGATCATCTAGCCTCTAGCTTGAATATTCTTTGTAAGAAATTGAGAAATTGTATCACTTTCCAAAAGAGTCTTTTCCTTTGAACTCTGATTATAAACCAAGAAACTAAAGCCACTGCCATCGAGTTGATTCTGACTCATAGCAATCCAATAGGCAGTGTAGAACTTCCCCATAGCATTTCTAAGGCTGTAAAGCTTTACAGAAGTAGATTACCCCATCTTTCTTCTGAGGAGTGACTGGTGGGTTTGAAAGGCCATTGGTTTGTTAGCAAGCGAATGCTTTAATCACTCACTATTCTACCAGAGCTCTTGAACTCCAATTATAGAAAGCTGAAATCTCTCTCCTCAGATTTCTTCCCATTGCTTTATAGTTTTATCTTTGGAAACAATACAGAACAATCTTACTACTTTTTATTATGTAATATATAATATATAATAGTTGCATATAACAATTATGTCTTGTCAACTTCATGCTAAATATTACACCCAGTTGTGTGCATTGTTGGTTTTTTTTTTTTAGTATTTTTGGTGTGGTATTATTTACCTACCTCTCATTATTCTGTCTTCCTTTCTCTGTTTATAATAGTTGATCTCTTAAATTATGTTCTGTGAATTGAGTACTAAATTTTGGTTCACAAAAGTCTGTTTCCAAAGATCAAGATGCAATCCTGAGGCTGTCTTTCATGCGTCAGCAAAGGCATTCATTCATTCATTCTCATTGGTATTTATTTATATTTATATTTATTTATTTATTTTTCTGTTATTTCTAAAGAGGAAATGATCAATTCTGTCTGAGAGTAACTGGATCACCTAGGGAAGGCTTCCTAACATTAATAACCTTGAAATGGGGTGGATGTTGAAGAATGAATGCAGGCAGAATAAGGACATCACAGAGGGAACTGTAATAGTCAGTAGTTTGATATAACGGAAGATAGATGGTATGCTAGGATATGGAGGGATTGAAACTGTGAGTTAATTAAACCCAGCTCATAAATGCCATAAATGCCTTTATATGTCATAAACCTTTATGGAGTACATACATTTGGAAGCTACTAATGGCTTTTAAGCAGAGCTGTGACATGACATGAATATATTTTAGAAAGATTATTTAGTAGCAGTATAAGATGAAAGTATGAGAATCTTTTAGTAGTTTAGGCAAGAAATGATAAGACCCTGAACACAGAGACTTGACTATTATCAAAATAATTCTTACTCCCATTTAAACTCTTAGTGCATTTATAGAATAGATTCTTAGTGTTTCTTAATAAATGTATCAGATGAAAGTTAAACAGTAGAATTTTAACTTTATGAGTTAAAAGAAAGGAAGTCAACAATGAAATCTCCCTTAGGGAGTTGAATTGAAAAGATACATGTTACATGTATGATATGTTGGATTGGAGAGAGTAAAATCAAGACTATCAGTCAGGAGGTAACTATAATGTATGAGTGAGGGGATGAGGGATTTGTACCATGAAGTTATGGGAGAAAAATCAACTCCTTTAAAAACTGGTTTTCCATTCTTAGAAAACTACTTCATATCTTACTTTGGGTTCCTCCCCAAACAGACCCTGGGTGAAAGTTTCCAAAGCATGCAATTTATGTGGGAGGAAATGTCAGGGAATACTAGTAAGGGAGTGGAGAAGTGAAACAAAGAAAAGGGAAGGCAAGTCAGTCGATAAAGGGCGTGTTAGAGTGGGTTCTCTAGAGAAACAAAACCAGTAAAGCTTATATATAGAGAGAAAGGGAAATTTATCTTAGGAAAATGGCTCACATACTTACAGAAGGTGGCATGTCCAAAGTTCCTGGATTAGACGTCAAGCTGCCGGCTTTTCCCAATTCACACAGCTGCAGGGGCTGAGGAGCTAGAGGTTGGCAGGCAGTATACTGGCTGTTGACACCAACGAATGATGAATCCAAGATCTCCAGGTCAAATGGTGGATTGTTCACTCACGGACAGTTGTAGGCAGCACAACAGAATCCTGAGCCACAGAAGAGTGTCTCTTTTCCCAGGATGTCCATAAATATACTGGAAGCAGGCCACACCCCTAGAGAATCTACCTTTCAATGGATTGGCTGCTCAGAACATGTACATCTGATCCTGTCATGGGAATAACCACATCACAACTGCTTAAACCACACAGAATTGTGGTCCAGCCAAGTTGACACACAGCTCCAACTATCACAGAGGGTTTTTATTTATTTATTTAAAAAATTAAGTTAATGTGGGTAGCTAAAACTTAATTCCACTAAAGAACTCTAGGGGACATTATAGAAACAGGCCTAAGATTTATCCCACTCATGGGGCAAGAGAGTTTGGGGTATTGCCCAAGGGGCAAGGAGGCTGCATCTTCTGACCTCCTCTAACCCCATAAGAGGAAGACAGAATCAGCAGCAGCAGCCCAAGGCTTATCCCTGTGAGGCCAGACATGCTGGCTCCCTCTAGCCCTTTCACCAGTCCTGACACTAACTGTTCTCCTGCAGCACCCACCACCTCTCTGCTGGATTTGATAATTCAATGCAGTGGCCACACAGAACTCAGAGATCATGGGGTTTGTTAGGGAAGCAACAGGCTACAATTGAAGTTAGGAACACGCTCAGTCTCTCTCAGACTGCTTTCTCTCAGCCAACAGTCTCTCACAGTCTCTCTCCCAGCAGTGCATGTATCAGTGTCTCCCTCTCAGCAATGCATGTCTCTCAGGAGCATGTTACCCTCAGCAGCACATCTTTCTCAGCCAGCAAGTCAGAGAGACTTCTTCTGCTTCTAGGAGGCCTCCTTTTTGAACCTGGCAGAGTGGTCAAACTAAGCAATCCCAACATCAGAATTCTGTACACCTGAGAGAGAGCGAACTTCCCAGAAAATTACTTGGTGCTACACTAAGCAGAGTTATCTCCAGGTGGATAACTTTAACAATCAAGAGCTACTCAGTTGCTCATGGCAAATTCCACCATGGAGTTTACAAAGACTTATGGCTAGAAAAGCCACACTGTGTAATTTACTACACCACAAGTAATGTCTCTCCTTGCAGCCATTGTTATCCAGAGCAGAGGAGCATCAGTAATTCTTCACTTGTAGCCTTCTGCACAGGTATACGAACAAAGTGGTCTCTCACATGTCCAGAGAAAGCCCAAAGGCAAAGAAATGCAGATGCAGGCTGTTTGAAGTCAAAACAGTTGTCCATTAAAGTGGTGAAGGTGAAAATAGACAGGCAGGTTGACATTTTACCTTCAAAAATTCTAATCATCATGACTTTCAGTTCACTTTTTCTATGATTATGATAGATCTTTAGAGTTAATCTTTAAAGATATATTCCTTGAATGATCTAATATTGAATATTTCTATTTTTTCTTGTGGCAGACCAACCAACAATTTCTGCAAACATTAACTGAACAAAATGTGGAAATGGAGCAATTACGAAAACAACTTAGGTATTTTAAAAAATGAGTTTTATTACTATTGTAAATTTTTTTTTTCTATGAGTGTTTTTTTTTTCCCCCCTTTTATTAAGCTTTTGTCAGTATGTATGATCTATCTGGATGAGAATGCAGTCAGTCATGGTGAAGGATCCAGTTAAGAAAGATATTAAAACCAGCAGTTATGGAAGAAAATCAGTTCTGTTAGAAAAAATTTTTCCACACATATAAGATTACTTTATATTTTACTTTGCATTTATTCACAAGTAGAGTCTGAGAAAAGGGTATTAAAGCATGCAGTTTATATAGGTGGTAATACCTGGAAGAACCAGTAGTGGAGTGGTAAAGTGAGACAGGGAAAGGAAAAGGTAGGAAGCCAATATAAGGTTTTTAAAAACTAAGGAACTTACTGCTCTATATATGTATGTTTTGGTATAGTGGTTTAACAGTCATCATATTAGTGGACTTTTGGAAAAAATAATCAGATTACCAAATATAAATATGTATGTATAAGATTTTGTTCTTTGCTATAGTCATTTAAAAATATCACTAAACTTGTCATTTGTTGAGTAATCTTTTGCTATTTATTTTATGTTTTTCCCACTATCAGAAATTTTGCCCTGTAAAGTAACATATTATTCTCAAAGAAGAAACTTTAAATTTTCAGGAGTTTTGCATTTGTATTTTTATTTTATTTTTATATTTTTATTTTATTACTTTCATCAATTCTTAAATTTAAATAAACTTACTTTTTCTCCTTAGACATTTACACTAATGGACTCTTGTTTGGTCTTCCTTATTTCTTTAGAAGTTACTGGTTTTACAGTTTAAAATAGTAATTATTTATTTGATTTTAAGATGTTATTTCTCTTTATTTCAAAATGGAAAGACTGTTTTTTAAAATGATAAAAACAAGTAGGCTCACTATAAAAAGCTATAAATAGTATAAGAATGTATCAAGTGAAAAATGAAAATCTCAATATTTAGAGATACTTATTATTAACTTTGTGAATATGTATGTAACTTAGATTTATATGTGTATTTAAGTATCTTAATAAACTTGTTATGGGCTGTCGAGTTGGACCCGACTCATTGCGACCCCTCCTTGGGTTTTCGAGGCAGTATCACTACGGAAATAGATTGCCCCATCTTCCTTCCAAGGAGTGGCTGGTGGGTTTGAACCACCAGCCTTCTGGTTAGCAGTCAAGTGCCTTAGGCACTACGCTACCAGGGCACTACGCTATCAGAATACTGCCACTGAGTCGGATCCATCTCATAGCGACCCCTCCTTGGGTTTCTGAGGAGGTATCACTACAGAAGTAGATTGCCCAACCTTCCTTCCAAGAAGTGGTTGGTGGGTGTGAACTACCAGCCTTCTGGTTAGCAGTCAAATGTCTTAGGCACTATGCCACCAGAGCTCTTTAGGGTAATATACACAGTTTAATAACCTAATATTTTTACACATCAATATATGAACATTATATGAAGTTATCATTCTTAATGTTTTGTACTAGTCTATGTTATGGAGATTGTTAGTTTCCATCAAGTTGATTCTGCGTCATGGAAATCTACACTATATTTATTACTTGTACATTAATTTACTGTCCATTGTTAATCCTATTTCATCTTTAGTAGAATAATTTTTATATGATATCTATTCGTTAAATATTAGAATGAGAGCAGTGTTAGAATGATAAGCACATGCTATACAGAGTTACTCCTAAATTGGGCTTAGTTATTGCTATTATTCATTGTTATTACTAAATGAAGGTTAATACTGTTAAAAAAAATGGAAATGAATTCTTTGATGTAAAGTAAAGGCCAACTTGGTTAAATTTTTTGTCATAAACTTTAAAAGCCTACTTTTAAATTGATTTGTAATATAAAGCAAAAACTGACAGAAATGCAAGATATGATGGGCAAATCTCCAACAATACTGAAAGATTTTAATTCTTGGTGCAATGAACTTCTTTTATGTTTTCTTTCTGGCCCTGAGTTTACAATTCTTCCAAAATGATTGGTCAGGCCACAGTCTGCCAAGTGATTAATTTGTTTGCTGCCCACCTAAGTGGCTTTTAAGGATTGGTTCATTTGCTGTCTGCCTAAGTGGCATTCAGGGATTGGTTAGTTTGCTCTCTGCGTAAGCAGCTTGCATGCATTGTTCAGTTTGCTACTCACCTACTTGGGCTGCAGGGTTCGGATAATTTATTCTCCATTAAAGTAGCTTGCAAGTATTGATTGGTGAGCTATGCACATAAGAATCTTGCATAGATTATAGATTAGTCAGTTTACTATCTGCGTAAGAGGCTTGCAGGATTGGCTGGTTTGCTTTCTGCCTAAGCAGCTTGCAGGGATTGCTCAGTTTGCTATCCACCTAAGTGGCTTGCAGGAATTGGTCGGTTTGCTGTCTGCCTTCATGACTTGTAGTCTACCCAACAAGGCTGGTTGATCCACCTAAGGGATTGGTCAGTTTATGAAAGCCGTGCTTTGAAATTGACAAGGTGTTTTCCTATTTAAATGGTCAATCTCACAGAGGGTTTTTGGGGATCTCCTAATGAATAAGAGCTTGGAGAAGAGAACATCCTTTAGATCTTGGGTACCTGCACTGCAAACCTCATAGACCCAAATACAAGAGTTGTAATGTGAGTCAAGGGCTGTAACATTGAGCTAATAACATTAAAGACCAAGAGAACAGCAACAAGAACCCTAAAGAAGAGAAACAGAGGCAGAGAAATGGTAACAAGCATAGCAGAGCCCAGTTAAAGAGAAATGGAGACAGTGATGAATGTGATGGTAACCACGAGACCAGTGAGGGTAGAGGTGAGCAGAGTTGGTCTACAGAGAAGATGGTGGTAGTGGGCAGAGTCAGCACATGGAGCGAAGCTGGGTGCCCCATAAAGGCTACAGTCCAGGCTTATGCTGGCAGATGCCCAAGCAGAGCAAATGTTAACATGGGGCTGAACTGGCTTGCCTTTGGCAACAGTAGATACCCCTGCTACACTGAAGGTTGTGATCCAAAGGCTGTTATGGAGCCAGTCCTGAGGGCTGAGAGGCTGTCTATCCTGAGGGGCCTGAAAAGAGACCTACAGAGACTTGGGTATACACTGTACAGGGGTTACCCATAAAACAGTATTTAATCAAGAGCTGTTGTAATGTTGGCCTAAGCCTGGCCCTGGCCCAGAGTTGTCCTGAAGCTACTGATTGAGAGCTGGACCAGTAAGCATAGGGGGCAAGACCCAACCAAGAAGTGCTGCAGAGAGAGCACAAACATAGCCCTGCTGCATTTGACCTGAGCTGATGACACACCTCCTGAGAAAGAGAGAGACATCTACCTGCTTCATGGTGTGCCTACACAGTGACATAGAAACGGACATAGGTATTTTGGGAAGGGTGAGCGGATCCCCTTTTAGACATAGGTGGGTTCCTCTCTTATGATGCTAGGTGGGGTACTTGTGAGGTAGAGGGGACTGATCACTTAAAATCTGTTATTTAATGTTTATTTTCTATAAGTATTCTTTCCTGTGGTTTACTGTTTATTTTTTCTAAGTAATAATGAAAACAAAAACTCAAATTCACTGCCATTGAGTCTATTCTGACTCACAGTGACCCACATTGTCTTTCCAAGGCTGTAAATCTTTATGGAAGCACATAACCCCATCTTTCTTCTAAGGAACAGCTGGTGGGTTTGAGCCATGGACCTTTTGGTCCGAATGCCTTAACCACCACACCACCAGAGCTCCTTGTAAATATTAATAGTGGCTTTCATTTGCCAACACTTTGTAAAGTATCTTTGTGTGTGCGACCCAATCAGTGCAGACAGTAGAGTCCTCATCCTAGTAGTCTCATAATTGCTTGGGATTTAGAGTACAACCTATGTGTGTATGCACAGATTACTTGATAACCGATAGGTGAAGTAAACTGAACATAAGTAAGGATTTAGAAGATTAAATTATGTAGGTAACCTGATCTAACAGGCATCTATTGTTGTTGTTATATGCCATCGAGTCGGCCCCGACTCATAGCGACCCCTCCTTGGGTTTCCGAGGCAGTATCACTACGGAAGTAGGATTGCCCAACCTTCCTTCCGAGGAGTGGCTGGTGGGTTTGAACCGCCAGCCTTCTGGTTAGCAAGTGCCTTAGGCACTATGCTACCAGAGCTCCCTACAGGCATCTATAGGACATTGAATTAATTCATTGTTCAGTAATTATTTAGTGAGCAGCTACTATATGCCAGGGTCTGTTCTTGGTATTCAGGGCACATCAACTTGCTATATACAGTTGAAGGCTTCTTTTTTTATATAACTTATATTCTAACAGGAGCAAACTGACAATAAATACACTAAGTAAAATGTATAATTTTACATAAAAAGCATGTTGGGATGTGATAGCTATGGGAAAAAGAGATCAGGATGAGAAGCATCCATAGTGCTGTGGGCCAGGGGAGAGGTAGGTTACAACTCGAAATAGGATATTCAGAGTAAGCCTCACTGAGAGGTTGAGATTTGAACAAAGAATTGAGGGATGTGAATGAATTAGCCATGAAATATAGGGAAAGAGTATTCCAGGTAGAGAACTACTCATTGCTAAGGTGGGTATGTGCTTCAGAAACAGCAAGGCAGTATGATGCCTCCATTATCTATTGCTGAGTCATAAGCTGTTCTAAAACTTTGTGGCTCAAAACAGTAATTTACTTCAATCATGATATTGTAGGACAACAGATCTGGTGTGGTGGTCTGTGTTTGCTGTGTAGATCTGCTGTGTTTGTCTTTGTGTTTTCATTCAGCTGATAAGTCTTCTGGTAGCTGGATGGTCTAACACTTTGCAGCAGATAGTCATCTGTCTGGTAGTTATCAGGTTCATAGCCAGAACAATAGGACTGTTGTTGTTAGGTGCCGTCAAGTCATTTCTCACTCATAGCGACCCCATGCACAGCAGAACGAAACACTGCCTAATCCCACACCAGCTCTACGATCCCTGCTATACTTGAGCCCATCATCACAGCCACCGTGTCAATC